TCTTTCCCCGGAGGTAAAGCTGATCATTCACCTCCAACTAGTGTCGAGGTCAAGAAAATACGCCTTCATGGCTTAGTAATTATTTAGTTAAGCACAGGGACAACTTTACCTTTATTCTTAAGTAGACTGTTGTGTAGAAAACATGAAAGCAGAAGCTTAGAAAGGACAACAGCTTTATAACGAAACATAGGCTGATATGATGAAAAACAGGCCTGAATAACATCTCGGCAAAACTGTCTGTTTGTGAATTGTCATTACACGTATCGGGACGCTTCTCAGTTCGAAATGTCTCTGAGTTCAGTCTGAAAAACTAAGTTGGAATTAAGTATTAATAAGTTCCTGCATGAAGAGACTATTAAGTCAGGATGAGAAGTACGTGCATTATTTCCGTGACAGCTCTCCGTCCCATAAAGTGTCTAACAGCCATGTTCTCATTACAGATTAATTGATAATAAACAAGTCATAATATTGCCTTCGATTCATTTGCATTTGTTTAATAAGACTATAGCTAAGACCAATAGAAGTGACGTCGTTTAGTATAGGTACAAAGTGCATTTCGTGTGATTAAAGCTATTCATGTTTGGGCAAACATCAACATTCAGCCCATTGTTTACTTCCCTTCTTCATTTGTCAATCACATGATGACACTGAGATCATGCATTTAGTTAATGTTAAACATCATTGCATACTTATCTGAATAATAATGCTTGCAAAATAGTCCAAGGTCCAAAAATTTGAATCACAAAGAGACCACAATTTCGTACAGAGATTTTCCTTTTGTGTATCCAGTATCAATATTCACGTGCTGTGTTAGTGTATGTAACCAACACCAGGGAACAGAGCCTTACTTAATAAGCTAAAAAGCTTCTTAAAAATTTTCCGCCTTTTATGAAATTCGTTTTAAGATTATTACCGTCCTCACAAGAGACAACCAGTACATATTATCCTGGTCCACATGAATACACTCCACAACAAATAAAACAAACTCCGTGGTTTTAGTCCGCAAGCGAACTATACCGACCGAGCGACCGCCGCTTGTAGGCGAAATGAATGCCAAATTTAGCGGATAGAGAGTGTCGCGTGGTCAGCGCAACGAATCCCCACGGCCGTTAATTTCGGTTTTCTATACCGGGGCCGCTATTTCCTTTAAATAGCTCCTCAATTATTATTATTATTCTGACGAGGCTGAGTGTCCCCCGTTCCAGATCCACTGCTTCTCAGAAAATCTGGTAGCGACGGGAATCGAAAACGGGACCTCAGGATCTGTAGACAGGAACTGTGACCACTAGATCACAGAGGCGGTCTGAATACAGTCCACTCGTCGCAAAATCTCCCGTTTCGTGAAAATAAATATTACCTTCTAATATGCCACAAAGAATTAAAAATTGATTGTTTCCTTCAAAGTTTTGGTCTCATATTTTGTAACATATATCATCTATATCATGCGCAATATACTCCGCCATTTTCATCCCCATTGAATATTTCAAAATGGTTGATACATGGTCAGAATCCATTTTCAAACCAATTTTGATTGTTCATAGGAATTAATTGTTACCTTTATCGTATTTTACATAAGGACGTTTTGTCACATATATGGAGGGTATTTGATAACAGACTGCTGAAAAAAGAATTCTGAAAAGAAGAAGCAGAATATGATAGGAGTGTGCCTGTTCTCGTAAAGTATTCTATCAAGATATTAGAAGAGGGAGCAGCAGCTGGCGGTTATGAACACAGTGATCACATTTCAGGGCCCATGAATTGCTGTGAAGTTTTGACTAGTCGAACATTTCTCCTGCGTTAATACTGGTTTCTTGCTCGTCTTATCCTTGGCCCTGAAGATGGAAAGGATATGTTGCTCCGAAAGGTCGGTTGACTTTCAACTGATTACGTGGCATTGTATTCGAGAAAGTAGAACTAAATCCTTCTTATACTGTATAAGTAAAATCTGTAAGAAATAAAAACACTTTAATGCTCAGAGGACTTTGGGAGATCCTGAGAATAAAAACAGCGCCCCGGTGTTTTATCATCATAATGGAAATATGAATACGTAGTTAACGTAAAAGCAATCCAACAGTGTTTATAGTCGTCGACACTAGATAGAGGCGATTGATCAGCTTTACGCTCCGGCCAATTTGCCTGTAGTTAAGTAACCATGCGTGTTTTTGAAAGTGTGTTGGGCTGGGTGGCCCAAAAGGTCGCTCTAGGCTTGCCACAGAAAGAAAAACCATGTTTCCATCGAAATTAATTCCGGCCAATCACACTGTAGCTATGCCTCATTCCAAATGTATTTGGAATGACTATAAACAATGAAAATGAAAAAAAAACTAGTTCACAATGAGCTGTGGTTCGTCGCAAAGAAGTTGCGAAATCCTGAGACACATGCCACACCTAACCACCTGCAGATAATTTAATATTACATTTAAACTGTGCTGTTATCAGTGTAGGAAACGAGACAGCTCAGTCGATATTGTGATGGGCTATGAGCCGGAAGGTTGGATTCTAATCTTCGTTGGAAGCAAAATATTTCTTTCTACTCCAGAACATCCAGATCGACTGTGGGGCCCACCCAGCCTCATTGGGTGTCGGGGACTCTGTCGCCGAAGATAAAACGGCATGGGCGTGAAGCTGATTACTAACCTCCTACTACCGAGATCAAGAGTGATGGAGTTGTGTCTCCATTCCCCCATAGGTATTCATGGCGTGGTGCTAAACTAATTATGCACAGGGATAAATTTACCATGAAATTTGTCATCCTATGGGAATTTTTTTTTTGCTTTTATCTGGCTGCTTACATGAACTTTCCCATTTGATTACCAATAGAAGATCAGATTTTTATGGCTCTTACGCATAGACTTCACGACGTCGTGAATAAAGTGTAGTCTCTTAACTGACAAAAAGGTCTTGGCAGATAAACTCAATTCGTATTCCTCGAATATTATGAATAGAAAATTCCATGGCAAGTAGCAATATTTTAATTTTTTATCTTCTTTTCCAGTATTGTCTGCAGGTTATATGACCAAGGAAATATATATATATATACACACACACACGCACGTACAGCATTTAGTGAAATGTGATTTTATTTTTCCACCTGGTTGCACAGTTATCCGGTATAGAAAACCGAAATTAACGGCCGTGGGAGTTCGTTGCGCTGACCACGCGACACCCTCTCTCCACTAAATTTGGCACTAACTTCTTTGACAAGCCGCGGTCGCTCGATAGGTATAGTTCGCTTGTGGACTAAAACCACGGAGTTAGTTTTTTTTTTGTTTAGTTGCACAGTTGTACCAGTTATTTGTTTGAATAGACCGAGGTTTGTTAATTACGCCTATATAGAACACGAAGATACTTAAATTTATTTATGGTCAGTGTTTATGGAAGAAATAATATTAAAACGAAATTCCGACGATTTGTGAGTTTCCTAATAAAACTGAAATTAAATTTGATAATTAGTTGAAACAGGTTATTATCATCTTGTCCAAAATAAAAAAAAATCTTCATCAAGAATTTGGCCGTATGCGGCAGGTAAACTACTCCATTCTCTGTCTCCCTTTTCCTTTTTATTTTCTGTTACCCGTGTTCGTGATCGCCTAAAGGGAACATGTTTGCGTGTGGCCACTTACAAGGAAAACTAGCCAAATTTCTCGACACGATACGTTTGCTACTGGGCTTCTAGAAGACCAGTTGGTGTCTCATTACTGCTTGATGATAAGTTACCACAGTCTACTGGATCTTCTGCATATTAACCTGTACAGTACAGGCTGCTTCTTGTTACATTTTACTTTTACAAGTGACATTGAACTCGGTGCTAGAAATTCATCTTTCTTCGAGACACGCAAGTGGTGCTAGCTGGCATTATCATTATAATTATTATTAGTTATCCTGCTTGGACAGACAGGCAGACAGCCACAGACATGAGGAATCCTGTGTACTAAGACATCAATGTATGTACAGCTGTTTGATGCTCCATCACTGAATGTATTCAAAATGGACAATACTAAAGACATGTTGCTGACTTTAAAAATGTCTTACAACCTTGCTTCATGTTTGTCGTCTTTCATTTAATAAGCCTCCTCTTCAGAATGTGTATCTATACGCCATAGGCGAATTTCGTAAGCTTCTGGTTGTAAGTAAGTCGGCTGTAGACTGTTTTATGTTGAAGCTTTACTAGACAATTTCATCTTTATATTAAGAATACATTGGACTCCAATGATCAGAGAATTCTATGTTGATCATAATTCATCCATATAATAATAATAATAATAATAATAATAATAATAATAATAATAATAATAATAATTGCACTGAAGTAAGAGTCTGTAAAATTATGAAGAGCCAC